AGGCATAGAGACTGGTCAGTGACCCTCGGGCAACCTCTGTTCACTAGAGAAATAAAAGACAAATGGCAACACCAATGACAGCAGACCAAGCTTGCTGTTTAGCAAGGTTACATACAGTCAAGACTACCTACAAAGACAAGATAGCGATGGCAATAATATATTTGTAAGAGTAGCCGGATCGAAAACAAGGCTAATCCTACTGTGAAGGCTGTCTGGCCAAAGGATATTTTCCTCCAAGGGGATTCAAATTTATTCTGGATGTAATTCATTTTCATTATTTCTAAGGTTAAGCCTCTTTTAATTGTCATCTCCTTCTCTAGTTTGAGATGTAATAAGACAATTCAGTGAGGGGGAATGGGTTTTCTTCATCATTGGGTTTCATCTCATTTGATGACTGTCTAACAGATATGATCTTGCACATTGGTTGATGAGTGTCCGGATGTATTTTTCACATGTGAAGACTGGGGCTTCAATTGCGAGGCAGATCAACTTTTTCTGGGGAAATCTGTTTTGTCCATAGAAGCCCATAGTCTATAGAGGCGAAAAAATGAGGACATTTGTGTTTATTTCTTGCAACAATGCTTCAGGCACTAAATTTTATATAATTGAAAAGCCTGTTTGTTTCCCCTTTTTATGGGTTGAGGACCAGAGTTGAGTATTTGGGTCGCACCCATGAAAAACTCAAGCTTGTCTGCCAGTGCCATTGTTTCGTTTACTTAATTGGATGATTGAAGTTTGAAGAAAGAGGATGTATTGGCAACAATTGATTCATTTAACGAGGGGGGCCTCAGTAGCACGTGGAAGAACATTATGCAGCCACAGCCTGGCACCTCCTCCTTGTGCTGGTCACCAGCTGTGTGACCAGCATTTGTTTTAAGTAAGCCAGTGTGGTTGCACATGCTATACCTCCCACAACCACTTGCCACCTGGTTGTGGACTACACACTTTGGTTACCAGGATATCACAAACCAGTCTCTAGGCTTGTATGAAGAAGGATTTAAGAAGGTTATTTAAAGCCACAGAAAGCTTGTCGCTGAATCTTGTGCTTCGTATTGCTGAACTATCACTAGTAAAGTTCTATTGTGGCTAAACGCAGGCACCACAGAAAAGGAATGTGTGGCATGAAAAGGACAGTATGTGTGCCTCTGCTCCACTGATTTTGATCTAATTGATCAAACTGGAACGTGTTAATGAAGTGTGCTGCCAACTCAGTATTCTTTTGCACTGGCTGGATTTCACTGTCTGTGAGAAGTTTCTATAACACTCAGTGTTGATTTCTGCCTTTATCGAAAGACTAAAAAAGACGCTGAGTAATATTGTTTGGAATAAGAGACACATTTTATGGACCTTTGCTGTTCACTGCAGCTGAAGACGTCAGGATGCCTCATTTCTTCTGTCATCAAATTCTCCTTTTAGTTTGTTTGCTGCTATTTGAATGAAATGGATAATATTGACTTATTTTCACCAAAATCAGACAAAGCTCTGCAATAAATCTCGGCCATCAAGGCCATTAAAATTAATTTAACAAAGAAGGCCTCTTTAAGAAGCCACTGCAGCAAGTTATGAGTTTGCATTAACATTAGCTTAACCTTCCAGGGCAGGAAGTGACTTCATTTACAGTTTGATAAACCACCACAAAATAAATCACTGGGGCAGACAACCAGTAAAAAGAGAGAAGCAGCAGGATAAATAGGACAGTAGCACTGAATGCTGAACATACTGTGGCACCTTACCGGCACACGTGAGCCATCCATGTGGCAACTTTCCGTGCTCATTACTGCTTGTGCCTGATTTGATCTCTACTGCAGGCTAGTTTGCAGCTCCAGTTAAGAGCAGCATAAGAAAATGGATCTTTTTTCATGGCAGCTGTAGATGCTGCTTGATTGTTGGAGAAAGCACAGCAGCAGCAAGCTGCCATCGGTTGAAAGGAGGAAGAGCAGTTATCGCACAGTAAACAGGGGGCAAGAGGGGGGGAGGCATTAGGGTACAGCACAGCCAGGCCTTTCCACTGTCACAGTTACATAAGATGTGTCTTCATGGCAACAAAAGGCCTCTGTCGTTTTCTGCTCCCAGCCCTCAGCCCCGCCGGCTGTGTCCTTAACCCCATCGACCTCATTAAATATTCCCCTCTGCTCTCCTCATGTATCCCTGTTTACTTTCTTTCTTTCACTTTATTGTCCTTTTTCCTCTGTGGATCAGTTATTACCGCCAAAGGTTCTTCATAACCATGTCACACACTGAAAAACACTGGAATTTATGTAAACACGAGTATTATTACAGTGGCATGTTTAAAGTTTCAAATAATGTGGAAATTTTTTGTAGAAGTATCCCTGTAGGCCAAACTTCAGGTGTTTTTTGTACTCTTTGTTCTTCATGATGTCATTCTGTCATTCTCGTAGTGAGAAAAACACGCCGCATTTAATTTGAGGATTTTTACTCTTGGGAGAGGTGCTGAAGATAGTCTATTGATGAATGATTACAAAAATGTATTAGAAAAATACACTCCGTGATTGCCATATCATCCTCAGAGATGTTAACCAGATACGGAAGAACGGGGCCCATAACACAGCCCTCCTTTCACCGTCGTTGAAGATCATTTTTTTGGTCTCCATGTTCCACCATAACTCAGATCACAGGGCGCAAGCTATTTAAGTATCTCCCAGATTATTAAGGACTCAGTTGGTGGTAGAGATCTGCTGTTGTGGAATAATTTATTAAGATCACCATCGAGACCTTTAAATCGAGACTAACAACCTATTAATTTCACTTGCAAATGCAGCTTTAAAACCTTCCTGCTGGAACCTCATTTTGTGTTTGCTTTAGTTTTATTCTCCAATCTGTTAGAGTACTCTGCACTTTGTAGTTATTAAGCATTTAATGATAGATGGTGTTTCTTAAAAGAAACGGTTTAGATATTTTGTAACAGTACAATACAAATAAAGACAAATAAAATCTAATTATAGATGAATCATAAGAGAGATATAAGTCATCTAGTTCATAAAAAAGATGACAGATCGACTCTTAAAAAGGGTTCAGGGTTGGATAGGGTTTGACCCCTCTGACATGGATTATTGTGAGGATACAGCCTCACCATTGCAAGCTCTTACATAAGGCAGTGCAATAAAATAGATGGTGCTGTCCTGTTTACCAGCCAGACCCAGAATCATCTGCTGCCTCGACCTACATAAAACCTTCCATGTGGAGATTCAAATCTATAAATAACAAAAGTGCAGTTGCAACCAGAAGATCATTTGATGTGATGGGTTTTGTTGGTGAACACAACCTTCAACATTAGCACTGTGTCATCATTTAGGTGCCACACTGGATTAAAGTTTGTGCTCAAGCTTGGTCCTGTTTGTATGTCACTGTATATTCTCACATTTCACAGGACAGAATAATCTTTATCATTTCACAGACATGGTTTCTTCATAGCCTCAGATGGCCTTTGCTTACACGGATATGACGAGGGCCATTTAACAAATAATGAGTGCACATTGTTAGTGCCAGAAAAAGCTCAGAGAAGATCCGGGATGGGTGGATAAGTCAGCTTTGGTTTCTTTTACTCATTACTACATTTGTCTTTTATTTTATTTATTTTTTCAGCAGCGGTCCCCAACGCCCGGGCCACAGACCGGTACCCGTCTGTGAGTCATTTGGTACCGGGCCACGAGAGTTGAGATTTTCAGTTTATGGTTTTCAGGGTTTTTATCGTTTTTTTTTTTATCGTTAACTCCGTTTCTCTGGGTCTTTTCCCGTGTGTTATGAATAAATCTTTTTTTTGGTACCAGTACTGGTTTTATTTTGTTGTATTTATCCACCATAAATACAATAAACGAACCGGTCAGTGGTGCAAAAAAGGTTGGGAACCGCTGGTTTAAAACATACAGAATGTTTTAAATTATGCCTGGATGATTGATTTGTGAGGCTGATTTTTATTTAACCTTGTAGAAAGTAAAATGTTAAAACGGATTTATGCTTTCTGCTCAGATAGCACTTATCTTAAATCAGAATCAGAATCAGCATACTTTATTAATCTCTAAGGAAATTATGTGGGTTACAGTTGCTCCAGTATAAATATCAATAACAGAAACAGACAAGACTATTTAACAATACAATATGTTACAGATTTAAGAAATTTAAGAAATAGAACAATATATACAAATCACTAAATAATAAATATCAAGGATTGACGGAGGTGATTATAAATAAATGTCAAGAATGTTGACAGCAACATTACTGAGTAGAAAAGAGTGTGTGCAAAAAGGATGTAACTATTGCAGTGTTTACAGTGTGTTAGATGGAGGAGCTGTACAGGGAGATGGCCACAGGCAGGAATGATATCCTGTGTCATTCAGTGGTGCTTTTTGGTAATCTCAGTCTGTCACTGAACGTGCTCCTGTGACTAGCCAGCCCGTCATGGAGTGGGTGGGAGGTATTATCCTGCATTGTCTTTATCTTGGACAACATTCGCCTCTCCGACACCACCTTAAGGGAATCCAGCTCCATCCCCACAACATTACTGGCCTTGCGGATCAGTTTATTTGCATCTGCGACCCTCAACCTGCTGCCCCAGCATGCAACAGCATAGAGGATAGCTCTGGCCACAACAGACTCACAGAAAATCCTGAGCATTGTCCAACAGATGTTGAAGGACTTCAGCCGCCTCAGAAAATAAAGATGACTCTGGCCTTTCCTGTAAAGTGCAGTGGCGTTTTTTTTGTTTTGTTTTGTTTTTAAGCTAGAGATATAGAGATTTTGAGAATATGAACTAGACTGCACATAATATGTACATCCCCCTTTTGCTTACTGCAAAGCAGCTTTCAAAATCATGTTGTAAGTTGAACAGAATCTTGATATTTGATGACATTTATTAGAATTTTGTTACAATTTTGAATTTATATATGTGGGCTCTTTTGTCTCCAGTCACATCCCGTTACTCATTATGCAACAGGGTTTGTTAAAATAGTCTGACGCTAATGACAGCATTCTTTCTTTCGCAGTTAAATCTGACAACAAAGACAAGCAGGAGAAGACTGACACCGTGTCTGGGAAAACAGACAAGATTGACAACTTTGACAAGAAGGAAGAACAGCAGAAGGACTACGGCCCAGACAAGAACCAGAAGTCTGAGAAGATAATCAAAAACGAGGAAAAGCTAGAGAAGATGAACGCGGAGAAAAACAACAAGGCGGAAAAGGTGGACAAGCCGGAGAAGACCAACAAAGATGAGAAGAAGGAGGAGAAGGGTGTGAAAGGGACGGCCAAGTCTCCCACAGGGAATGGTAGCAAGACCCTGGCGAGCCCTGACAGCAAGAGCAAGGTGGGTCACATACAGACACGCATAAAGAGAATAATTAGTGTCATCTACGCACATTTCCAGCACGCAAACTGCACAGTCATCGTGGTAAAAGCAGTCACCCGATAATAACAAGTCTGACCTCCCACAGTTGCAACGAAAGCCTGTGAAGTGTCCTTGAGCAAGACACACAATTGCTTACAAATGCTGCAGAAGCTGATCACAGAAATCACAGAAACATATTTCCTTTATCTCTTGTGTGTGTGCTAGGGGAGGTCTGTGTGTGTCTGTCTAAAGTCTTGGTCACACCAGTATTTTACCTTCTGAGGCCCATGACATCATAGGTGGTAACCCTAAGCTTGGTGTGAATAGCGTTTGAGGTGCGCCAGTTGGAATAATTGTTTTATTTTCTGATTGACAGGACTACATTACACACACACACACACACACACACACACACACACAATTACAACCATTTTGAGTTGCAATTTCACACACACACACACACACACATATATATATGCACATATATATATATATATATATATATATATATATATATGTGTGTGAAATTTCACTGCAACTCAAAATGGTACTCAGTAGTATGCATGTCCCCCGTGTGCTTGTGTGCATGCTGCCAGTGAGATGGTATCCTGGTGGATCTCCTCCCAGATCAGGACCAGGGCATCACTGTGCTTCTGGACAGTCTGAGGTGTAACCTGGCGGTGTCGAAGGGACTGAAACCTAATGTCCCAGAGGTGTTCTTTTGGATTCACGTTAAGTGAGCGTTGGGGTCAATCATCCTTTATTCTCCAGGATAAATTCTCCTGCTTGCATACTCTTACCACTTGAGACCTGGCATTGTCGTCCATCAGGAGGAACCCAGGACCCACTTCACCAGCAGTGGGTCCAAGGATTTCATCCAGATACTTAATGGCTGCCAGGGTGCTGTTTCCCAGCCTGTAGAGGTCTGTGCCTGTCTTCATGGATATGCCTTCCCAGAGCATCACTGACCCACCACCAAACTGATGTTGAGCAACATGTTGAAGAATATTACAGACAGCAATATCTCTCCCTTAGAGATAGGGTGAGAAGTTCAGCCATCCGGGAGAGTCTCAGAGTAGAGCCACTGCTCCTCCACATCGAAAGGAGCCAGTTGAGGTGGTTCGGGCATCTGACAAGGATGCCTCCTGGGTGAGGTGTTCTGGGTATGACCCACTGGGACCCAGGACACGCTTGAGAGATTATATCTCTCTGGTGGACTTGGTGTTCCCCTGGACAAGCTGGAGGAGGTGGCTGGGGAGAGAGAGGTCTGGGCTTCTCTGCTTAGGCTGCTACCCTTGCGACCCGGCTCTGGATAAGCGGAAGAAGATGGATAGATGGATGGACAAACAGTAATACAGCCCACTAGAGGACGTCAGGCCCTTGAGCCATCCAGTGTATTTCTGATTGTTTGGTCAGAAACATTCACACCTGTGGCCTCCTGGGGGTCATTTTGTAGTTCTGGCAGTGCTCGTCCTATTCCTCCTTAGACAAAGGATCAAATACCGGTTTTGATGTTGGCTTAAGAACCAACCCTTTTCAGCTCTCCTAGAGTAACTGCCTGTTTCCTGGAATCTCCTCTATGCTCTTTAGACACAGTAAACCTCTGGCACTGGCATGTATTGATGTGCCATTCTGGTGGAGTTGGATACTCTGTGCTACCTTGGTAGGGTCCAGTTATTGTCTCATACTAGTAATAGTTACACTGAGGCTAGTAGTGACAAAAAAATGTTCTTGACAAAAAACATCTTGACCTGTAAAACCATTTGTATTGCCTCAGGTTGTCTCATTGTTTCCCCTCTATTGAACCTGTTTCATTAATCGGTTTTAGCTGCTTTACTGTTAATGAAACAAGTGTATACATACAGAACAGAATTATATACATAATAGACTATCACCTTTGGAGTAAATGAGTATAAATTTAGGAGTAAAGACAAAAACCCAAAGAACTTTAGTGACCAACTGGCAAATAAACCGCTTTCATACTGACATGTTCCCAGTAGGTAGCATTTAAGCTAACTGTTTACGTTAAAGCCACGAGGCCAGAGAGTTTTCATACAACTTTCTACATTATAAGCTTACACAAATGAAACTCACTGTCCACTAACTGCATGCTAGCTGACGTGTTTGTGAATCTGTCCAGTGTCTGACATTGAATTTCCATATTACATGCAGCTGTGGGCTACTGCTCATTTTATCTCACTTGAGGCCTGTAATTTCATTATTTAGTAATCATGACCTTTCTAAGCTGGTTATAAATTGCTTAGTCGGTTTTATAATTTATGGCCTGTTTTATGATTATCTATGGTTGCTGGCTGGGCTGCTATATCACGCTGTCATTGCAGTCATTGCTGAGTTCACTGCAGCTTTTTCTTTTTCTATCTGTCTTTCTTTTTCTTCCTTTCTTTTCTGCGCTGTCCTCCTTTTTTTACTATTATTTTGGCTTCTTTAATTTCATAATCACCAGCCTAATGCAGGTTCCACCAAACCAGATTCTGCCAAATCACGCCCATCCACTCTCTCCACAAATGGCGAGGCCAACTCGGCCAAACGCCCCTCCCCCACCACTGCTTCAGCCAATAAAAAAAGCCCTGTACCCAAGGCAACTACACCTACTGCTGCCAAGCGGCCGCCAACAGCAACTAGCTCTGCTAAGGCTGCCAAGGTAAGTATAAGACACAAGGTTACATGTATATCTTCAGTGCAAGCTATGTCTTTATTTGGTAAAGACTGGATGACTCTCAGTCTACATTAATATCTAGATATGTATTTCAGAGTTATAAAATAGGATCCTTACATGCCATTTCACATTTTAAAATATATATTTCACCCATACATGAAAGATCGATGTAACCACCACTGCCCATTAGATTATGGCAGGGGCCTCCAACTCCAGTCCTCGAGAGCTACTGTCCTGCAGCTTTTAGATCTATCCTTGTTCCAACACACCTGAGTCAGATTAATGGCTTGTTACCAGGCCTTTGCCAACCTTGACGGCACACTGAAGAGGTAATTCAGCCATCTGAGGCTGTGTCCCAATTCAGAGACCGCACGCTTGAAGTATGCATTTTGAGTGCGATTACATCACCGCCACGCGACGACGGCTGTCCCAATTCAAAGTGTACTCCAAATGCGCCGTCGATTTCCCCAAATATCAAGCGTGGTCCGTGTCACTACCCGATCTGTACCGAAAACCCGATTGATACCCAGCATGCGCAAAAGGTGTCTACTTCCGGTTGAAGCATTTTACGATAGTTATGGGTCAGAGTATCTGTTAAGATGTTAAGAATAATAATCTCTTAAAATGTTTCCAATAATGAAACATTTCAATAAAATGTAGACAAAAACGAAAAATAAAAAGATAGTTACGGATCAGGACTCCCGATCCGTACCGCGCATGCGCAGATGTTTTCTTCTTCTTCTTCTGTTCATTTAATGGCAGTTTATTCCTCAGTGTACGAGGATACTGCCCCCTGCTGACCGAGCGAATGAGCCCTATTGTAAACTGAATTAGCGTCATTACAAAACGTGTGTTAAATTTGATTTAGTGATAGTCGAGTGTGTTTATGCTTGTCTGTGTGGAGAGGATTGATTGGAATAGTGATGATGATGTCCGCTATCACTGTCAATTGTCAGTGAACACTTCATCTGGCTGATGAATCTTCACGTGACATATTACAAAGTCTGTATTATTAATTAGGCGCCATTTTTCTTATTTTACGGCGCTGTTGTTCAATCGGGGAACGCTCTGTGTTGAGGAGAAAAGCATGCATTTGTTTGTATACGGATTATCCATTGTTTAAATGTCCCCGTAGTCGAAAAGGAGGCAGAGCTGTTGAGAAATACTAGGTGCTAACTGGGCGCTAACCGTATCATTCAAATATATTGAATGTCGCAATGTTGGCAAAGAGAGGAAGTGACCTAAGATTTGCGCATGCGGGGAACCGATCGGGTTTCCGGTATGGATCGGGTAGCTACAGTCAATGGTAGCGACAGTCCGGTGCACGCTTCGTGGTCCCATATATCCCACAATTCATAGCGCAGCGGTGGGTGTGGATAATTTTACCGAAAAATACGGCAGACGGCAGAAGAAGAGTGAACTGTCAAAAGTAAGTACTGAATATGATGTCACTTATTTATGTGCGAATGTTTAATAACAAAGAACATTAAAACATTACTGTTGGCCACATGTCGGCAAAGATATGTGACACTAGTGATGTTTGTACTTTCTGCGTTAACTTGGTTCTAAAGCCTTTACTTCAATATGTATATATATATATATATTATATATATATATATATATATATATATATATATATATATATATATATATATATATATATAAAAAAACACCCAGCACGCCCCTGCGTGCGGTTTATCCTTCGGGTCCTCTACCAGAGGCCTGGGAGCTTGAGGGTCCTGCGCAGTATCTTAGCTGTTCCCAGGACTGCGCTCTTCTGGACAGAGATCTCCGATGTTGTTCCCGGGATCTGCTGGATATATATATATATATATATATATATATATATATATATATATATTATATATATATATATATATACATATATATATATATATATATATATATATATATAATATATATATATATATATGTATGTATATATATATATATATATATATATATATATATATATGTACATATAGTTGACCTTAATCTTACAGAGAATGTGATGATTTCATGGATAATTAAAGTCAGTCATATATCCACAAACACAACAGGCTGAAAGTCGGTAATGCTGCTCGGTTTGCAGTCCTGAATATCACGGCACAAGCAGGATTCACTGCACTGTTAATGTTAGCTATGTTATATTGCTGCCTCTGTTCGGTGGTGTCGAGCCAAACAGACTTTAACGTGTGTTTGAACGAGCTGACGGTTCACTCCTTAAGCTGAAAGAAAGATGCTTTAATCACAGCAGTCACACGTGTGTCCACTGTACCATCTGGCACTCTTCTTGTTTAGCGCTCGTAATAACACAAACACTAAATCCTCTTGTTTGTAGCAGTGTGTACACCTGAGACTGTCACCTGTCTGTCTGTCCTGCACTCTCTCTCTTTTTCTTTCTGATTGTGGAATAAAAGTCTGAACATGTGTTTATAAGTTACACTTGTTTGAATCCTGCAGCTTATCACACATTTGATTTCCATGTGTGACAACTGCAAGTGTCCAGAGTGAGGACAGACTGAGGGACCCACTGCTGCACATCATCTGTGAGGCTTTGCACCCCTGATGATCCACCAGGACAAACTCAGCAGTGTGTGAGGAAGAGGAGGAGGAAGAGCCAGCAGCAGCTGACAGATGGAGAGAATAGACAGACTGTTCCCTGTTTGTGAAGGACTGCTAGGAAAGTTTAACATAACTAATTGTCTGTCCTGAATCAGTCTTATTAGGTAATGTTCAAATAATTTTATCATCCCAGTGTTTTCAGTGTGGGAGAAAGTACTCAGGGCCTTCAAGTTACACACTATGAAAGGCAGCAACAGTTAATGTCAGAAACCTAAAGTATGTATCAGCAGCAGAATGGAGCTAAAATAAATGTTTGTTTCAGTTCTATGAAGCTTTGAGTATTTTGGATCAGTAGCACTGCTGTGTTTGTTGCATCATATTGCTGTAATTGTTTATATGCTTTATATATTCTGAGGTAAGTTGATCTATAGTGTTACATCATTTTCTATAAGGATGTTATGTGTTTGTAGACTTTCTGCCCAGTTTGACCCATTTAGCAGAAGTCAGCCTGTTTAAGGCTCTGATATCTATTCTGTATGACTTAAAGCAGTTATGACATGGTCTGATTTTCTCACCCAATAAAGGAATATTTCATATATCAGTCTACTCTTCATTCTATCAGAAACAGTTATCACAGCTTGTACATTTTCTTTTTACACATATATGTAAGCAAGCTAAATGTAATAATGCGAACATATTAAGAGAACAATATTTGTCTCTTATGTGTAACACATCTGTATATACACTGTCAAAGATACTTGTCTTTGACTGAAGATTTAAGGTGATAGGAAATATAAAATTTTATATATATATATATATATATATATAGATATATAGATATATATATAGATATATATATCATACTAATCTGACAATACATATAATATTGGCCATATTATATTTACATTACCACAGTGAGATGATTTTAGTCTCATGAACAACATTAGCTAATTGTTATTTACTAGCTAATCTTAAAATGACTGTTCAGCACAGAAATGAAGACCAACAACAGTCATGTTTTACAGTCCTGTGGTCTCAGCCTCAGATACTCAACTAATCAAAGTGATGTCATGACAAAAATGAATGAGCAAAAAAACATTTTTCTCCTTCATTTCTGTCACACAAAGCTGTATGAGACGTTTCTCGTGGTTAGTATCATGGTTGCTAGGCAACCTGAACAGCGTGACGAAGGCTAGACCGTCCCATTTCACAGGCCTCTCTCTTCCGCACTTCTCGTACTTATAGTATGCACCGTACGTAGTACGCGTAGTGCTCGTACTTAAAGCGTGCGGTCTCTTAATTGGGACACAGCCTGATTCAGCTGTGTTGGAGTAGGGATGCATCTAAAAGCTGCAGGACAGTAGCTCTCGAGGACTGGAGTTGAAGATCCCTGGATTATGGACTCTGAAATTAAACATACTGTATAATCCTGTGGTCATGCTATTAATAATGTCCTCTTGTTGGCCATGCTTGGATGACACAGGTCTTCCACTGATTGAGAGCGTTTTCATACAAATCTTTTGCCTACTATCATTTTAAAAGCCCTGATTGTTCCATGTGGTTCCAGATATCAGCCACCATCTGTCGCAAATGTCCTTTTTAATCTCCCAATGTTAAAACGTTAGCCTCCTCTTTTCTCTTGTCACTTTCATTTTCTACTTGCATTTGGCTGCACTATAAAAGCCTGGAAAACACTCCTTATGCACACAGCAGTCATACACAAAGTCATACACGTAAAATTCAGGAACACAGCTGTTTATCTCTTCTTTGGTTTTTCTTCAGACTCCAGAAAATGGGGAAAAACGTCCACCTGTGCCAAAGGCCACGCCCGCTCCCCGTACAACTGCCAGTAAGAATGGCTCCTCTGCAACTGCTGCAGGCAAGACTGCAGGTACGAGGATACAGTGCAGCATCAGTTCCTTTGCTGCACCTGCAGCATATCTGACTGTACCGGTTTGCATGATATGAAATAAGATAAGATAAGATAAGATAAGATCACCTTTATTAGTATCTCAACATATTCTCTGCAACAGGAAACTTCACTCGCTGCTCTAGCTCGAACAGTGACTTGCATTGCACACTGGCGCTGCTCCAGGCTGCATCAACAGGCTAACTGAATTGCTACCATGTGTTAGACTTAATCAGATTCAAGTGCTGGCTTTTGAAGAGCCCAACTGGTATTTTTGTCTGCACATGACAAACAGTATCTCACCTCTCAGAGCAAGGGAGATATGAGCTTTTTGTGTGTACCCTCACACAATATGATTCAGTCACCCAGTTCACAGCAATAGGTGTTATGTGCTGTAGGGTTTATGTTTCATTTTAGCTGCATGAGTGCTCCGTTACTCTTTGAGACTTTTGCCCCAGTGTCAACAGTTATGTCCAAGTCCATGATGTTTCTGTCACATCACAGCAGTATTACATACTGTGGCTTTATCAAAAACTGTACATACTGTTACTGGAAACTCATGTTATGCAGTTAACAAACTTCATGTCACCAGAAATTGTTGAGTTTCTGTCTGATTTTGCCTTTAAGCAGTCAGCTCTGCAATATTGTAGAAAAATAAATATCTATGGGCAGAACATATCAGTTAAATAATCACATCGTTGCCAATAAAACCTAAAAGTAGGTGTGATAAATTCAAACTACATCATATAGAAACATATAATATAGTGATAAACAATAGTCTACACTCACAAAGCTTAATTAAACACAATATTGACAAAACATTTTTAGTTTTAGTCTTTGATTATTTGATCAGTCTGTAAGTCAGCTGATTTGGTTGTCGGGTCTGTATAATCATATCTATTCTAAATGTATTTTACTTTGCCTAAATATTGCATGTAAATATAAATATTTGAAATACTATAAAAGAAACTAAAATGATCAAAACTAATCCCAAAAGTAACCAAAAAAACGACACAAAAATGTTGACAAGTATCATTTCTTGTCTTTCGGAAATAACAAGTAAGAAAACAACTCTACAGCAAGGTAAGAATGGCAGAGCCGTGATTTAGCACTTCTAAATTTACCGTGTTTGACGTAACAGTTTCTGTAACATCAGCTAGACAGGAGGTGACAACAGCAGTGATTGTACATGTCTATTCTTCACTCTCTTTATAGCTTCGATTTGGTGTCCACAGACTTGAGAATAAACAAATAACTCATGAGATGCTGAATATTGAAGTCTCAGCTCAAGTTAGTCATTAATGTTGTCTGTCATATTATTGGATCATTACTATAATTTAATGTGAAAAGAAGTGTCCTATTCAACAGGGTGTTATATATATATAATAATATATTTTATATAATATATAATATATATTTATATATTAGGGGTGCAACAATACACAAAATTCATGGTTCGGTTCGATACTTTGGTGTCACGGTTCGATATTTTTTTGATACAAAAAATGTTAATGCCTTTTTAATTTGTCATTTATTTTAATTAAAATATATTTTCACTCAAAAGTACAGTTTTTAAATTTAATGTTGCTGAAACAACAAAATAATAAAAAAATAAATCGATCTGATCGAGAAATCCCTCATCTTTGGAAAAGAGAGTTTATTACAGAGAATGTCTCTTTCCAAAATAAAAGCTATACTATACCTTCTTCTGGGCTATATTTCAGCAGCATATTAAACATATCAGGTCCCCATAAGGAGAATCCTGTGCTAACTCGGGTAAAGTTTGTAGCATGCGTGCTTGTTGTTTTGTCTGCTTCACTTGTTTTGCACTAGATGATGTTGGTGCAAATGTGCAGTCATATTCGTTGTGTTCCCACTAGTACTGTCAGCGTTAATCTGAAATGACGTTAATGCCACAACACGGCAAATCTTCGTTAACGAGCTACCGCGGATTGCCCAGTGCGTGGGGCTAGACAGCGTCAACACTTAAGAGCAACTGCGCTAAGCACTAGTTCCCACCCATGTAATTGAGCATTGTGTGGCACATCCGACATACTGTTTTGTCCATGACGCGCTTACCTTCAGGGTCATACTTCACATGAAGACCAAAATAGTTCCAAAGGCCAGATCTGAATGTACGGAGCTCCGCAGGGGATATGGGAGAAGAAAAAAAATTAAGACGGACTTTTGCGAGATCTCGGCAAAACAAACTCGGGATCTCGCAAAAGTTTAGCTGCATTTTCGGAGGCCGCACTCGGAAGCCAACGGGAGGTCGAGGCACGATGTCCGGGAAAGCGGTGTTCCCCAGCTGTAGTAGTCTCGACCTCCCGTTAGCTTCGGATAGTGGTGTCAGATCTCGAAACGTCAGAGCCTTTCAAATATGTGATGTCTTGTAACCGAGCAGGTATCTGACATACACACTACATTCACGCCTCAAAATATCTTAAAAGTGTATTTTGTGACCCAGAAAGAGTAATATTACAACTAAGTAGCTTTGTTGGATTTCAACTTTTGCGAGATCTCGCAATAGTTTTGCGAGTCCGTCTTAATTTTTTTTTCTCCCATGTCCCCTGCGGGGCTCCGTATGAATGAGGGTGGGGGAGGTTCAATTTGCCATGTTGCAACGAGCTTAGCTTCTGTTTGCTAGCTTGCGCTGCGCTTAGTGGATCAGCACTCGACAGTGCAGCCTAGGCGGAGTAGTCGAACGCAGATCACTGAGCTCAACACAGACAGCATCGTCAAAGGAAGTTGATAAATAAATTACAATTTGTATTGTTCGATACATATGCGTACGAACGAAAGCATGTATCGAACTGTTCAATAGCGATACGAGTATCGTTGCACCCCTAATAAATATATATATATATACTCCTTTCATGCTCACCTTTCCACTCTTTTTACTTAACCTATTTCCCAGAGGAACCCACCCGAGGGATTAATAAAGTTCTATCTAATCTAATATATATTCTATATTCCTTTTTTCCCTCTTCTTTCTGGAGCATTAAAATAAGTACCCTAACTCCTCACAACCTTAAGCCTATTTTTGGAATGGCTAGAGGGGCACCACCTGAGGCTGGAAATGCCTCATTATTTTTTTTGTATTGCTACCTAAAAATTATGGCGAAAAACCTGTTTTCTGTTTTCCACTTACAGCCAACAAGAACGACAAAACTGAGAGCAAGACCAGTGAGGCCAAGAAACCCAAGACTACACGTAAGAAACATAAAATACTTAAAATAACAGGTTAATTTTTTTTTTGGGGGGGGGATACACAAACTACACAATACACATGTTTTCATGCAGTTGTAAGTTAGTTTCACAGACATCAATGACTACAAAAGCTCCTTGGGTATTTCCAGTACTTCTTCTACCAGTCAGGTCCCTGTATCCACTTCAGGACCACTTTGAGGTATTTTATCAAAGCAGGGACCAGCATGGTAACACAAAATTCTGGGCCCAAACGTGGGAGAAGGTTACCACCAAAATTTCAGATGCAGCCCGAAAATTTTGTCCTCCATGATTTTATTCAAACACTGGCAGAAGTGTCACAACACTGGTAGAACTGGGGTAATATAGAGTAATAAGTATGTTAGATTAAATAATTAAGCGACATATTTTATTGTATAAGCATTAAATGTAATAGAGAGAAAACCCCAACAATCAGACAAACCCTGTGAGCAAGCACTTGGCAACAGTAGGAAGGAAAAACAATGCATACTTTCATAAAAAGTAAATGACATAGTGGTAGGCTTTTACATTTTCACAAATTTTACTATATTATACTAGAATATAAATTATTATACTATTATAGTGATATATAAATTATACTTATTATAATTTCTGTTTCTCTGTAGCCCGTCCTCGCCCAGCCTCAACCGCCGCTCCTGCTACCCCGGCTGCTTCCACCAATGGAGAATCCAGTGCCACTCACCGCCGTCGGGTCATCACCAAACCCCCTGTGCCCAAGCAGACTCCCCTGGATAAGAAACCAGCTGTTCCCCGTGCTCCCCGCACCCCCCGACCCATCAATGCTCCAACACCAGATCTAAAGAACGTCCGTTCCAAGATTGGTTCCATTGACAACATCAAGTACCAGCCTGGTGGAGGAAAGGTAAGACAAAGAGACAGCACAAGAGAGTACTATGAATAATTCAGGACAGTGATGTACCTGTCAAGATTCATGAATGAATGCTTTTCTTGTAACAGCGAATGATTTGGCGATGGGTGGTTTGTACTTTAAATAGTGCATGTGTGTTATACAGCATAATAACATGAATTAATTCCTTTACTCTGGAATTGAGATTGGATGTCAGAATATATTTAATTTAACCTCTGCATATTTCATAGTTAATTTACAGTTTTTCTTTTTAATTCCTGGTCATTCTGAAACAGATAACATTTTTTAAATAGATAAAAGTAGTGTTGAAAAATGCTGAATTCAAAGTATTTCAAGTGTTTTACCTTAACTGTATAATAGGTCCTGGTACAAACTCTCAGAACAGCACTGCAAATCTTTCTCGCAGTAGAAGTGGATTTCCTGAAACATTGTAAATGTGTTCCTGGATCCTCATAATTCTGTACAAACAATGTCAGTGCCTGGAGTGCAGAAACGATCAGATGACTACATGCTCTGACTCTGCGGAATACACTGGATTCAGTTATATTTGCAGTGCCGTACAGCAGTGCCGTTGGCACGGTGCAGCTATGGTTAGACCTACAGTAGAGAAGAACACTAGTAATCAATCAATCAATTAAAGCTTTATTCGCCACATGCAGGTTGCCCTGCAGTGAAATGGGTAAGTAAACAGTCTACCAGCCAACCCAGGTGGCCTTGCATGGAATGGGAAGGAACAGACTCAACACAGTGGTTATCAGGGTGTTTTTGTTCGCCTCCGGCCTTGAGCCCACAGCTGGCGCCGAAGGGGTAGCCACATATAATGGTGATTTTTCTTTTAGAACAATCATGAGAATTTCAAGCTGTTTTTTACACTCGACCTGGTCTCTCAATCTCCCATTGGATAGCTGCGAGTTTCTCCATGATGTTATTTACCTTCAATTCTGTGGTCTTTTCAGTCTTTTGCTCACAGAGCAGATTCTGAGACCTCACGACCCGCGTGTAATCCAGAGGTGTTGTTCCGAGTGGATTCTTCCCTGATGTAATCCAATATACGCTCAGAGGTGTTATCTGAGCCTTCACTGCAGCCGTTAGCGCTCCAGCTCTTAACCATGCTGCCTTCAGTGAGCCCTTTCTGAGAAGCCGCACCTCGTCCCATCGTTTCAATCCCAGTGGGCAGCATTGGGGGAGTTTGAACAGCCCGTTCCGCTTTCTTAATTTTCCAGCCAGGGCCAAGCCAGCTCCAATCAGCAAGAACCCTGTTATCATGGTTCCGAATAGGTAGATATCTTCAGCATCTTCGATCGACAGTCCCGCCAGCACCGATCCTGCAGTCTGCAACCCGTCCATCGTGTACCGGCAGGGAAAGTCCCTCCAGGGCACTCGGGTCTCACGAGCCAGACTTCTCGTTGAGAAAGGGTGTCAATAGCTTCAGAGACCAGGTGATCAAATCCATAATTCTCTTTAGGTTTTAGAAACAGACTGTGAGAGTGTGTTCCAGGAAAGTGAAAAAAGCACGAGACAAGACAAGGACATAAGAAGCTAAGCAGGGAAGATAAGGGAGAGGAGAAAAGTGCGACCGCTGAGAGCCAAACGAGAAGAGAGTAAGAGAGAAAAGCAATCCTCACATGAGCTACTGAGTGTATATAATTTGACACCATTTGAAATAACAATAACTCAGAAACATGTCACTTCTGCACTGTGGGCATTTTAAAGGGCGTGTACATGTTAACTGAGAAAATAGCAACTTTACAACTCTATATTCGTTTTCCAGCGTCCTTCTAACATCAATCTTTTAACATATTCCTCTTTCTGAAATATCCAGTTTTTAACAGCATCTTGCTGCAATGCAAATGTTCTGACAGATGATGTTCTATCTCAGAATGACATACAGAACAGGAAGCATGCATGCTACCTGTATTCCACCACCCTAAAGTTGCCCAGCATGTCATGACATGGATCAGAGACATGACTGTGTTGTCCGTCTCCCTTCAATGTTATGTGACAGTGTGTCTAGAGGAAGGGGTGTGCCGTCGCTTTCAATCACAGGCATCATCCTCTCTCTGTCTGCCCTGCCATGTGAAATAATGTGTCCACTCTATCCATTATATCTTCTCTATTGTCCGTCAGAGAGTGGTTTTGCCTCAGAACAATATTGTGCTGAGAAAGTAGCCATTTTGGAAAATGTTCAGGGATTTTTTTCTTTCTTGTTGGGAGTTATTGAGAAGTTTGACGTCTCTCTCAGACGTTTTGAGCTTACTAAAGCTCGAGCTGGAGATCAATTGGATAGGCTTGGAAAACAGAAGCAGGGGAATGGCTAATATGTGTTTTTTTACTTGTGAATGTTTTCTGTTTATGCACAGATAGTAGAAAACATGGACGTGGCTTCCAAATATGAAAAAAACAAAAAAAGCTAATGGGGAAGTGCCTCACGCTGTGTACGTAAAGTGCTCTCTATCTGAGGGCCAGCGGACGGTGATTTGCTGTCTGTTTACAGGTTAACAGGCTCGTTCACTTGTTTTGGTTCATACTGAATAAAAAATTAAGTCACTTTTATAAAACTTGGTCATATCATGATTCAAAATCGAGAATTATGTTTATTATAAAATCACAAGCTAATTGGCTAATAACTTGTCATTAACAAATGAGTGTTTCGCACCTACAGCTCCTGGTGGCATCGTCTTTTGTTTTGCAGCCATGAAAATGGTTGATGTCGCACTAGCTACGTCCGTCGTAGTATTAGCTAAAGAGTAGCAAAATACAGTCAGGCAAATTTACATACGTGCACACACAATGAAATCGGAATAAAATATGTTTATTCTTGAGCTTCAGAGGTTCTGGTAGGGTTGAACGCTAATAACTAAGCTAATGGGTTCAAGCTTTATGTTGATCATTCAGATAATCGGGGCAGGGATAGCTCAGTAGGTAGAGTGGTGGCCCCATGATCGGAAGGTCGGGGGTTCGACTCCACTGAACGGCTACCCTGAGGTACCCCTGAGCAAGGTACCGTCCCTACACACTGCTCCCCGGGCGCTGCATTGGTGGCTGCCCACTGCTTCACTGGGTGAATGGGTTAAATGCAGAGAAACTATTTCCCTATGGGGACTAACACGCACACTTTACACTTTTTACTTTACACTGATCAAGAACGTCTACTTTGCAAAATGTTGAATTATATTTAAATGTTCTCACAACTAATAGTTGCATTCCTCATACACTTGTTGACATTTTGTCCACTTGTTTGTATGTTTTTGTGTTTCTCTAGATAGTCAAAGTTAATTTGTGTTCTTTTGCACTAACTACATCGGTTTCATTTCCATGTGTCTGTAGTGACCTTTTCTGAAATTGCAGATACAAAGTGTCTTTCTGTGCACCAAAATAGGTGCACAATGATTAACAAATATTTATGTTAATATCTTCCTTTCACATCCATTACTTTCTCCTGCCTGGTCATACTGCAGTGTTTGGTTGGGTGTTGTTGTATCCAGCATAGACGTCGCCACTACTCCCATTCAGGGGAACACAATCCATGCACCTTTTCAGCAACGCTTAACTTCCACAACCTGTAGCGTTTAGTCATGATTGTATGGCCAATTAAAGTTAGATTACTGTAGAAAAGGAGCTGTTGCTTTCTGTGCAAATAGTTCTGTGAAATTGCCCTGACCTTGTACTTTTCTGTGTGTAACAAAAGAGCAGTCGGAAGGGAAAATATTGCTATGAACTGTACTTAACCGCTCCATTCACTCTTTCAGGCATTGTGTTTCACAGGAGCATCTTCCCTGCTTTTCAAAACACGCTTTTACTCTTTGAAAGCTTCTTTACACAAACACATCGGCGCCCTGCATCGTAATTACTGGCACTGACTCATTCAGTCTTTTGTGATACTAAATTGCTTATGTTTACATTTTCTATTCAGGAGCAGTTTATGTGACTAATAGCCTTTCCCACCTCAGTATTTAGCAATAATATCAGTGCTGTTTATGTGATCAGTGGTACACTCCAGAAATGTGACATTTGATTTGTTGTTTTCAGACTGTATAAATAAGCCGACACTCTTTTTTTGTGATGGTATTTGATTAGCTTTTGTCACTAACAAAAGAAAAATGTTACTACATTTGTACTAATGTCATGTTTTAAAAAGGCTCCATCTGTTCCAGTTTTCTACCATCTGAATGCACAATACTCCTGATCTTCATGCTAAATTGTCCCAAAAATAAATTCTAACATTTAACCGGTGCCACTACTATCAATTATATAATATTATTCATACACCCACACATTTGGTTAATGTATTTGGTTCTTCGGCTTCTTTTTTAAGTAGCTCTAACATCCATTACACTCACACAATTGGTCCAGGCATTTGCATTCTTTTGATCACACCCATGTCGTCCACCTCGTTGTGGTGTAGCATTTGGTTGGTTGGAGGTTGTATTGACCAGGGGTGCTGGTTGTCTCCTCAGGTCTCTTCCACCCCGAACAACAAGACATCAGACCCCTCCACCCCTGCTGCCAAGGCCAGAGTGAGTCCTTGCCATTGACACCTTCACACCCCAGTACATTCACCCTTCTGTATGCATTCATCACAAGCACCACCTGCTCAACATCTCGAACAACACTCCACCTTGCTGTTCATTCCTACATGCACCTGCATATTCTGTCTGTTGATACTAAAGCAGGTTTCATTGTATGGTATATTTGTAAGAGACAAGTATAAAAAACAACAACTCTAAGACTAATTTCTAACACCAGTACCTTGATTAATAAGTGTAATTGTTTAAAATCATTATTGGACAATATCATATTATGTCATTATTGCAGTTCTGGACAGGCTCTAACTGCGTTATATAAAGTTTTAAAATCTCAAATTTGCTTGGAGTAAACAGTTCAGTGCAAAGGGAGTCTTGTAGTGTCTGACTCTTTCATGCAGTATATTCAGTGTGTTTATAATATTCTAGTGAAGTCTAAGAACTTGGTATACTATTTTAAAATGTTTAAAAATCCCAATGATTTCTTGGCTTAACTTGGATTGCCTCAATATAGAGGCTTGTAGGTGCTTTAACAACAAATCGTGAATAACCAAGAGGTTATTCAGGTTCAAGAATGAGATAAAAAAAAAAAGAGAAATGGCAACAGAAAAAGGATGAATCTGTATGCAAATGGTAAGCAATGTGCAATTTTATGGCGTTATTTTTGTGCCACTATTCTGAGCGCACATAAAAAAAATTGCAGGTGCAAGTGTTGCATTTTGAGGAAGAATTTATTTGAGTAAGAAAAGCTAAATTTGAGTGAACAAAATTCATTGCTGCGTGCAAAAACTGTATTTCAGTGTTTGCTATTATCCACACACACACACAACAGCAGCCCATCTCGCTCAGTTTTTGCATTTGCGCTTGCTCGCAATGTGTTGCTCGCGCTCTCAACATTTCTGCTCGTGCACGCTCAACTCTTTCTCTACATCGTTATATTTGTGCCACAAAACCAGCCAATTACAGACTTGGATGCAAAAAAAATCTGATTGTCTGTTTTGGTCTCCAACCAGCTCGAAACAGGCAGCGGCGGAGGAACACAGAGTGGCGGAGTTTGAAATAATACTCTTTCTGGGTCACAAAATAAACTTTTAAGATATTATCATGTGAGAATGGTGCTGTGTGAACTTCAAATACCTGCTCGATTTATCAAGACATCACATATTTGCAAAAGTGCTCTAACGTTTTCAGAGTTACCCGAGGGCGGCTGCTATTGTGTGTGTGTGTGTGTGTGTGTGTGTGTGTGTGTGTGTGTGTGTGTGTGTGTGTGTGTGTGTGTGTGTGTGTGTGTATGGATAATAGCAAACACTGAAATACAGTTTTTGCACGCAGCAACACGCTGCTGTCAGATGCATTCGTCAGCAAATGTGGCTGTGTTGGTCACTCTTGCATGAACAGCCTACCCAAGCTACCCTACCCAATCTGTGAGCGAACCGGTCCAAGATCACTACCTCCAGAGAGCCGTGTGTGGTTCTTCCACATGCTACTGAGCCTCCCCCCGGTTGTTAAATTGATAAATTGTCAGTATGTCTTGTTTTTTCAGACTTCAATCACCCAATCCAATAAACAACACCAAACAAGAGTCAATAGCAGAATAAGCTGTCTGGCTTTGTCAAGTTTTTCATGGGTGTGACACACAACCCAACTGCTGCTCTACCCACAAATGCTTTGTTCTTACAAACGTGACACCATTTAATGGGAAATAAACAGGCTTTCCATTGATATAAGATTTACTGCCAAGAAGCATTGTTAGAAACAAAGAAATAATCAACCAAACACAAATTCACTTACTCTTTGTGCTAAGATTTATCCACTGCAATGAATACAGAACATGGGTAGTATAACAGAGTGTGTACCATTAGCTAGAAAAGCTAGAAGACATGATATGTGTACAAATACAAAATGCAAATTAATCTCACGCATTATCTTTGGCTGAAATTGATGTTGCATTCTTTGAAATGTGGTCTCCTCTCATGGATAAGTGTCACTTGGTTGCCACTTTTTAGCGGTAATTTACTAAAATATTTTCATCATCCTACTTCTTTATCTAGCATAGCATGAGAATCATTAGAAATTAAGGAGACATGATGAACGAGAACCATGCAGCTGCTTGAAATCAATTAGGATATTTATGATGTGCTATCTGTGAGGAATACAAACTGAGGAGTCTGCTGCTTTTTGTCTGTGTGTTTGTGTGTGTTCGTGCTTACGCATTAAGTGTATGTGCACTCACTGCTCAGTGAGTCATCCTTTGCTGGTGCCACCTGCGTCATCATGCCATTTTCATCCTGGAGAAGCAACACTAAGATAAAGACAGAGAGAATGGAGGAAGGCGTCTTAGGCTTGCTGCAGGGCTTTTTTACAATGCAGCGACAGAGCCAATCAAAGTGATATCACACAAACAGGTTGGTGTTAGCTTATATAGAAGCAGGACAGGGTGGCTGCTTTTGATTCTTCATCATCAAAGTGGCTTATCTGCAACATCTTAAAAGCTTTGACTATTTTACCTGAGAAAGTTTTGGACACACTAGTGAGTCCAAAGTCCACAGTCCACAGTCCTTAGGTTGTGAAAAAGATGAAGACATCAAAGGGCAGCCTATTATTTCCATTTCTGGCTCTATATTTTTATTTTGGGAATTTACTAGAATAGCTTTGAATGATTCAAAATTCAAAATAATCCTTCTTTATCATATACTGGACCTTGGTGCAGCCCCTTAGTTTCTCAGCTGTCTGCAAGTGACAGATCATTGAAATTTGCTGTGTCGCCACGGCCATACTTTTTGACGAAAACTCAAAAACTCCACATTATGACCCAGGTTTGTAGTTGAGACTAACCAAATATGAAGTTGGTCCTACAAAAAAACAAGGAGGAGTTGGCAAAAGTATAACAGCATGAATAATCTCCTGAAATGCCATCTTCAATTCAAAGGGCAAAATTTCATGAGTTTTCAAGCAGATTAAAGGCCTCAAAAAGCCATTAGAAGTGATTACACGTTTCATGCTCCGGCCATAATGATAGTAGTTGGATTAATTCTTATTAAAAGGTAATTAAAAATTAAAGTTTATTTATGAAGGGTATTTTTTCAAGTCAAGTGGCTTTATTGTCATTTCAACCATGTGGTAGTCACAGTGAAACCAGACAGCATTCCTTCAAAATTACGGTGATTTATATAACAGGCAGTCAACACAGGGAGTGCAAAAAAACAGTGCAACACCAGGCAGAACAGAACAATCCCACATAGCAAAATTGGTATGGATCGGATCTGGCCCACACACCGCAAAGAATGACGGCCTTTTGGTGGCCCAGATCTGGTTTGCCAGATGTGGCCCACACATGGACCAGCAGCAGACACACTGGTGGTCCTGTGCCCAGAACAGTTTCAGCTCTGGCCCTAGATGTCAGCCTAATATGTACCTTAATCAAGACATGTAATAACAACATGCGCCAGAATATAATAGTGGAAAAGTAACATGAAGAAACTCTGTTCAGACAATGAATGGATTGATTCTTATATAGCCCTTTTCACTGTCCCAGATTACTGAAAGTGCTCTAAGCAACATGTCACATTAACACACTTTGTCTAAACTGAGTGCTTCCTAACTACATTCATACTCTTGGCATGCAGACTGGAAGAGCCAGGGATCTTACCACTACCCTTCCGATTAGTAGGTGACCGGCTCTACCTCCTGAGCTACAGCCACACAATGGTAAACATGAGTAAACCCTCACTAGGTTTTGGATAAAGTTTACACTCACAAACCTGTCAAACCTGCATTTAAAACGTTGGCTACCACAGCAGTATAGTATTGCAACATGGCATTTGGGTCTTCTAACTAAAACAGGAAAATAGGAACATAACTAGTGCCATCAATGCCAGACCTGGCACACATCTGGTTGACATGCACCAGTCAGTCAGAAGCGCCAGCTTGATGCTGGATCCGGGCCAGACCTGTTTTCTATGAGCCTGGGCCACATAAACCAATCCACAATCGGGCCAGATGTGGCATGCCATCACATAAATGGTGCCATCTATGCCAGGCCCATATCTGGATGACATATGTCTTACCATGCCAGAAGTCAGCCAGCAGTGCCAGCTTGATACCAGATCCGGGCCAGACCTACTTGCTACATGGGATAGAGATACAAGACAGTGCAAACACAACAACAATTTAAACATGCATTTCACTGACAGAAGTTTCACTGACAAATGCAACTGCATGGCAGGATGCTGTAAACGGACCAAACTTCAGTCAGGAGAACAACTGAGATAATCCATCCACAAAACAAGGTTAGTCATTAGTATACTGCTGCATGGGCTGGGCTGTAGTTACATCACAAGGGTTTAAAAACTGAGCTTTAAAATGTACAGTGGTAATAAAAACCGAGAGAGGCCGACAGTGATCCCTAACTGTTTTTAGGGGCTTGTTCAGATTAAACAGAACAAGATACAAATCAATTATAACATGTTAAAAAACATGTTTAGAAGTGACCAAAGTCACATTTTGGCAGGTTGAGTCAAGTTTGCTTTGCTCAAAAATGTCTTTTATCTGCAACATATTACTCAGCCCCAATTCAGAATATAAACCCAGATTGTCCAGATAGGCTTCACACCCAGAGAGACCCGCAAGGTTCAGTTTTAACCAGCCTGATCAAGTTTAGTTATTCATTGTGCACTGCAAGCCCACTCTACACAATACTCCATCCTAAGCAAAGGGTATCATTCAGGCTTTGTCATGCTGTTCACTTTCTGGAATCAGTACAAATCTGATCTGACTTATTAGATTTCTCACTAAGAGGCAGGAAGAATCCAGGTTACTTAACTCTGAATTGTTTAACCTTCCCTGTATCGGTCAGCACTGGATGGCACTACCACAGGTAGAAGCAAACTTTTCTGGTTGATCACAGGCCTTCTACTGAGGGAGATTCAAGATTCAATGTCACATCAATCGGATCACTGAGCTCTTTGGCCCCACAGTATGGTATGCCTTCAACACATTAATTTTAGGACAGCCTTCTTTTGCAGTTTGAGGTTAGCAATCAGGTAGGTTCTCAGTCATCCAGGTCATGGTAGTCTAAGGAGCTTGGAAGGAAAGTGACTGGACTTCTTAAAGTTTCATGAACCCCCAAAAAGCAAACGGCATCAGATTTAAATTGGATAAGTATAATTGTTTTCTACTTATACCTCAAACCTATGTCTATGGTGTATGGCAAAGACACTGCAATAATTCAGAGAAAACTCTAACATCAGACAACCTGTTATGAGCAAGCACTTGGCAACAGTGGGAAAGAGAAACTCCCCTTTAACAGGAAGAAGCCTCTGGCAGAACCAGGCTCAGGGAGGGGCGGCCATCTGCCGCAGCCAGTTGGGGTGAGAGAAGAAAGACAGGACAAAAGAAATCCTGTGGAAGAGAGCCAGAGATTTTTACATTTCAGTTATGTATCTCATTTGTAGCCAAAGCTGAAATACTAAGGAGAGAAGCTGACCATATAACATGTTCTTCCAGCTTGTAGTGTACTGCTGAAAGCACTTCAGACAGAACAACAGGTTTTTCTGCAAACTAGTCTATTTTTGAATCTTTTTAAAACCACCTTGTGCCCTCTGTTGTTCTGAATCTGTCACTTGCGGTTGCTTTTTTGCTTTGCTTTTAGCAGCATGTGTTAACACAAAATTACTGTCCACGGCACTCTTGCATGTACTCTCTCTCATCTTTGAGTGTTTGTCTTATGCTTTTTTTTGTAGCTATTGCTGTTTATGGAAGCGCTCTGTTGTTATTCACTCAGTATTCTCATCTTTTGCTAATTATGCATTCATTTTTGTAAGAATCTGCATTGATTCTTTCTAAGAATGTTTCCCATTAACATTCTCATTTTGATGGTTTGTCACATAATGTACCAAAAGCATTTTTGCTGTCTCATGTGCAAACCATCAATGAGCTTCTATAAAAAATGAATAGCAAAAAGTCTTCCATACTTACAGTACAAGGCTACTCTGTTTCCTGTCAACTAAACCTGCCAGCTGATCAGCTTTCTTTCTTTCTTTCTTTCTGTCTTTTTTTCTTTCCTCATGTTGCTTGTCTGTGTGTCTGCCTGCTTGTCTTTAGGTTCAGATAGTGCACAAAAAGCTGGACTTCAGCCACGTCACTTCTCGCTGTGGCTCCAAGGACAATATCAAACATGTCCCTGGAGGTGGCAATGTAAGTACTCCTGAAGCTGGAAGGAGACTCTCACATTTTATGCTAATTTAACCTAATTTGGACTATCTTGCTCAAAAGGTTGATCAGTTGGGAATGCCCCTTGTGCCTTGTACTCACCTAGCAGGTGTATTTGTTACAAAGAGATAAAATGGGAATTTATGTTCTTGGTATGTAAATCAGGTCCATCGTTGGGGGATGCATATTGTATTGGGTCCTTATTTACACATTCATACAGTATTGCTCTTGCAAAACAATATTCCTGTTCCTGTTTAAACAATTGCCAGATAATCTCATAATCTCATCGTAAGAAATTGAATCAGTCTGACTTATAAACATTGTACTGTCCTCCGGTGTTCTCTGATTGGATCTCTTCAAACAAATTTAGTAAATAGGAGCACCCATAAGATCTGAGACTGACAAAAATATTTACAAGGTTCAATTCCAAAAATGCACTTTGCGGTTTTGCCTCTTGGTTTAGTTTAACGTTCAGTAATTGAACTGACCGCAGGTGCTCATGCCTACCCTTTCAGGACTTGTTTCTACCTGGTCTGAAAACCTGCTTCACTATCGCCATCTCGCACAACCACAGAGTATATACAAAATATTAATTTAGTCTCCAAGTTAAGCCACTGTAGAAGAGCCTTTAAACCTCTAATGGCCATCAGGGGGCAACTCCTGTAGTCGAAAAAGAGGTCTGATTGTACAGAAGTCCATTAATACATTAACCTGCTGCTAACTGATGAGATTATGTTCTCAGTTTAGAGTAAAACAGTTGATAAAGCAGGGTATAACAGCCAGATTGTCGAATCTGATGAATGAAAACCAGAGTCACTGTGACTGTTTCCATCTTTCACATACTGTAGTCTATCCTCAAAACCACCACTTTGCTCTGTCAGCTCAAATAAACTGGGTTTTTTTTTCAGTGTGGGGACATGCAGTCATACTAAAAGGTCATGGTAAAAAGAAAGTATACCTTGTGTCATTTTTACTTACTAGTGCTTACCAACTAAAACAATCATTTGGAAGTTTATTGGGATTTGTCTATACACAGCTCTCTTAAGATCTGTTATAGATTTGCTGGTTTGCTTGGGATTATTGTCCTTTTACATTAAATCAATATGGCCAAGAATTAGCTGTAGCAGGCCTCATGTTTGACTCTAGAATACTTTGGTATGTAGAGCTTTGTGGTTGACTCATGGTGACGACATGGTGCCCTGAGGCCTGTACTATGAAGCAGGATTTAATCTTATCAAGGTAACTTCAGCGTTCATCCTGAGTTTTCTATACTAAGAAGATTATTCATTTCTTACTGGAGTATATTGCCATAGAAACTTATGCTGTGAACTTGAACTGCGAAGAAGCTGGTTATTTTCAGATTAGAGATCAACAGGTATGAAATCACCACTTGCTGACCAACAGCATTCCCCGAAGGCTCTTTGGACTTCTGCTGTGAGAGTTTGAGGGTTTAACATTTTTCAGCTGCATCTAAAGTCTTCGCATTTCCCTCATGAGCATCAATATTAAACATAGGTTCTTAGATACAACTTAGCATTACTAAAACACAATACACAGACATATCAAGTTTGTACATAGACTAGGCCTAGCCTTTTTTATCTTAAGTCTTTACTCTCAAACCTTTAAACAGCGCTGAGTCTCCAGGTGAGAGATTTAAAAACTAAAGCTGTTGGGAGCAGGTTATGTTGAGAGTGTTGGTTGAAAATCATCTGGATGTTTTCACTGTTTCTTTTAGTTAAAGCATGTTTTATACATGATGTAATACAGTTTCTATGCTGGGGGTTACATTTTACATCTGCAAACTGCTGCACCTTAGTAGAACCACTGAATGAAGCACAAACTGTGTCGCATTGTCTTGGAGATGTGCATGAATTCGTTTGGTGATGAAATGTTACAGTGGATAAAATAATTATTTGAGCTCGTTCACTTAAAAAAGACATAAACACTGTCTAATTTTTATGGTGGTTTCATTTTAATGGAAAGAGACAGGATATCAAGGCAAAATCCAGGAAAAAAAAACACCAGCATTTACATTTTCTGTATTTACTTACATCACTGATGTGTTTTTATAGTGGAAGATGACATTATGGATATTTAAACTGACTTTTAAGGATTTTAACTATTTGTTTCTATTCTTTAATATCCATTCACATTAGGGTAAGCTACGGGTCCAACAAAAGGTTTTGACAGTTTGTGTTACTAATAAAATTTTATCAGCAGAGTTATGGTCATCTCATTCTCCAGTCTGTCATCTTATATGTGAATCTGACTGATTTTAGCACATGTTGTGAGGCAGGTCATCGTGCCAGCTGCCAACTCTACAGTCATGGTGTGACTAGTTACAGCTCGTCCTGATTTATCTGCACAAACGGAGCGCTGCCGAACAAAACAAAAAGGCACCTTCTAAAATAATGAAACGGGTTAAAACAGGAAATCAAGCATGATTGGTAAAAAAAGCTGTGAGTCAATTTCACATGACGTTGCATTGTCAGGAATGTCACGCCGCTATATGAATGCGGCAGATGCAGTATAATGAATGATAGCGATTTTCTAAAGTGGCCTTGAGTGGACGCTGAAGTGAAAGTTGCATTGTACTGAATGACTTAGAAAATAAAAAGACAAGATTTTTATGTACTCCACCCCAGGTGCAGATCCTGAATAAGAAGGTTGATGTGAGCAAGGTAACATCCAAATGTGGCTCCAAGGACAACATCAAACACAAGCCAGGTCCATCCCAAAACATTTGTGCTTTTTCTTGCCATTAAACCCAAATGGCATCATATTAATTTTTCCTTATTTTTTTAATCCCAGGTGGTGGTGATGTGAAGATTGAGTCTCATAAGCTAAACATTAAGGCTAAGTCTAAGATTGGATCCGTGGACAACGTGGGGGCAGGAAATGGACAGACCAATGGACAAAAGGTCACTCTTAAACACAGTTAAACATGTGTTAGCAGCTCACAGAAAATTACCTTTTGTGGTTCTGCTGATTCATTGTGCCACTACTGGCCACCATGTGCCACCATGAGTTTTCAAACTTTGTATGCCCATGTTTCTGTCTGACCCCTACGAACTGTGTGTTTATTTTTGGCTGCAGGAAGAGAAAACTGAGCAGAAAACATCATCACCCCCAAGTGGCACTCAGACAACAGGACCAGGAGTCACTGCTAAGGCAACAGCACCTGGAGGTGTTGCTAAGGAGAACAGCATGAAGGAAACCACACCCACTCCTTTTGGGGGAGATGGACTGAGGGAGCCCCTCAGTGCAGAGAAATGCATCACTGAGACAAGTGGGTGTAAAGGCACACACTCACACACACTGGCTTCATTTTTTATTGAGAATGCATACAGTTTACAATTATGACAGGTGTGCTACTGAAGTGCCAAATAAATGAGAATAGGGTTCTTAATCCTAGCCAGTCACTTCACGCTATGCTACTCATATCTGCGAACCTTTAATCTGTAAATGTAGGGACTTTAATCTGGATGGTTCATGTGTACAACTATAAGAAATCTCAGAAATTTTTTTTATTGTTCCTTAAAGCTTTTAATGCTGCTGCTAACACCTGTAAACTAATGTTAACAGTAAGTTGTGGGTTAAAACTCTTTCTTCTGCTCACTTTTTAATGCTTTCCATTGTACATTTGAAGTGACAATTACACTGTTATAACTTTGTTTGAAAACAATCAATAGATAATTTAACCAAGATTTCTAACTTTTTATGTATTTTCCAACGCCTGGCTGGAGCAAACCTCTCCAAAGTATTACAATCCCATCTAATGCTGCTTCAGTATATAGGAAAATCCACAGCTTAAATGGCCTACTGTGTCACTTATTAGCAATATGTAGCTTGAAAGTCACTGCTCTGAGAATTTGCAAAAACTCAATTGTAGTGTATTCTGTTGCATTCACTCTGTTTCTGTTTATACTGTGGATATAACACTGCTACTGAACCGCAAATGCCTTGCTTTGAATCAAGGATTTTCTTTAGTTATTTATCTGTGTCACCTTGTACCACCCAGGCATAATTTCTGCCTGAGCTATTTTGATAGTGCTTTAGATAAGGCTACCTTAGGCTACCTGCCTGAAAGCCTGGTGTTATTTGCTCAGAGCCACTTGTGCTGACTTTCTAAGAGATCTCGCCTATCAACACAGAATAGCACACAATTTGATTGTTGCCTGCAGGTGCAAAATAATAGTCTTAATACACTTTCAGCATCTGAGGAACTTAAGATTGCTATTATCTTTATGGCAATATCTTCAAAACTACAGGAAAATTGTCCAATGTGTGGTTTTATTATAGTTTGCAGACTTATGTTAGCATCTGTATGCTTCTCTCATACTTGCTGTATTCAAATTCAGCAGTCCTCTTTTACTTTCTCACTTTCTATTTCCAGTTAATAGGAAATGAATATGGCATTTTGGTCTTTGCCTTTCTGGGGTTTTAAAATATGCATGACTATATTTGGACAAGCAGGCAAAATGAATAGCTAACAGTAACATTAGCTGGTTAGGTTGGTAAGTAAGATGACAGAGAAAAACCCCAGCTCAAAACAAAATATATGTAAACTGAACACTATTTTCATATCTTTTAGTGTAACCAGAGAGTGAATATGTGGTCATATATAGTACTAACATCTCAATCACAAGTCTCTGCCAGATTCTATCTAAAAGATATAGCCTGGGAGCCAATGTTGAAGTCCCCTAAACCTACAGTCCTTTTAATGAAAAGCAGAGGGTGAAGGTTGGCCTTTCAGACAGTATGAACATGTAGTTTCCCTCAGATCTTTCTCACAGTGGTCACATCCAGTTTCAAAACAACAAGATGGGGGAACGTGGAATGTTTAAACTAACAAGGAAGTCATGTCACAGTGGCTACATCCATCTTTTATAAAATTGGGTGATTTGTAGAGAACCAACATTGCTTTATTGTTGTCATGTGTCATGAAAAGTGAAAAGAAGTACAGAGGGAAGCTACAGCATGACAACAGTAATGGGGTTTTTCAACATTAAAGCATATACACCTATTCTTGTAGACCCCTAAAATAAAAATTATGAATAGTGGTACATGTACGATAGGAGTAAATTAAAAATAGATAATGTAGATAGTGTGTGTTTATGAATGAATAACCACATATACCCGCTCCCTGCTTACATGTCGGATAGAGTAGTGAAGCCAGCTCACCTTTTTACCAAATTATGAAATGAAATAATGAGGAGACCTTCAGAGTGAAGATGAGCCAGTCATGGTGGATAAATTCATCTTTACCACAGCTTTACCACTCAGACTCCCCGAGTTCAGAGGGACAACAGACTGTTGCTGTTGCTAAACTCATCTTAATTGATGAATGGCTGTAGCACTAATACAATTTTAAAAATGTCATTTGCCCCATAATTCATATGAGCTCACAGCAGACATCAGCTAGAGCCTGTAAGGCTGATAAAAACAACAAACTTGTTTTTCATCCTATCATTTTTTCTTCGTTTTGCGCTTCATCTGTTTTTTCTTCTTTAACTTGTCTCACCTCAGACTGAGTCCCAATGACCCGCAGATTTTGGCGGGACACGCATGGCGCTCGCTGGCCTGCCAATCAACTACCAACCAACTACCACGGCGCAGTCACTTTCCTCTGATCCCGCCCTTCATCTTGCCCACTGCAGCACCGAACTGACCGATCGCCTCTCAGTGTTTCTCTGGGATCTGCCTGCCAGCTTCCTGCTACCAACTCTGACCTTTGGCCCCTTGTCACCCTTGGGTTGCCCCACCTACCACAGAGAAAAGTAATTGCTGTTTGTCCATGTTTCTCTGTGCAGGTTTCCACCAGCTTCTCCACTGATGCCATTTCCTTGTAAGCACTGACTAAGGTCATTCCAACCTTAAAGCCCAAATGTAACAACCCCAAAGCAATAATCCCACAATCAATCAATCAGTGCTCTATTAAGTATCTTGACCATAGCCACTTTTTCTCATAGAATGTTCACCCTACTAGTGAAAACAGTTGCCTCAGATCACAGTAATGGAGCTTTGTTCTAGACCCTCTGGCAGGCTTTGACATTTAAAAACCAAACTAACAAAAACAGCACCATTCGTAGGTCATCAGACGTCTCATTACAGGTCAGTCTACAATTCATCACACGTTACTTCTCTTAGTATCAGTGCACCAGTTTGTCTCTTCAGAGTTCTTCACAATAATGATTCCTTGAATTTTAATATTATGATGTTTGTAGTCGTGGCTGCAAAGAGCACAAAATGAATCTGGTCTCGAGCGGCTATGAAGAGAGATGTCTGGAAGCAAATCTGAAGATGGATTTTAAAACCAGTGCAATAGCATCTCAAAAGTCAGATGGTTTTAGTACAATTGAAATCATTTAGCGATGTAACTCGTGCATTATGAAGGCAGCAAGAGGGAGGATACAGGAGCTCTGCTGATACTCGGCTCAAAGAGGATTTGGCACAAAAAAATCTGTGTTTGATCTCAGAGCCAAGTGTTTTTAAAGTTAAGATCTCTCTAATTGACCTTGAAGGAGTGAATATAAATTCCAGCTGAATGAGTGATATTGAAGGATGGTAATAAACCTTGAAATTAAACAGAGTGGCACAGAACACATGCACTCTATAATGTAATGTAGCACTTATGATGGACAGTGTCAATCACAGTGTCACAGGATTCTTTCTAAACATTCAGTCACACCAGCACATCAAATGTCTCCATTTCAGAGTCATTATAGTGTAGACCTGTGGAATCTGTGTGATGGTCTATGGTTGGCATGTCCATACAGGCCAAATGGTTCCTTGCAAATTTTCACTGCTGACTAATAGTAAGCCGTCTTGACAATGCTGAGAGAACAAAGCAGTTTTCAACTGAGGAAGCTACTGTAGGGATCCAGCTGTTTTTCAACATCAGCTTTTATTTCACCTCGGTACGCTCGGGAGCTTTTTTTTCCTTTTCTTAGTACTTGATTGAAATTATAGGGCACAATCTCTGGCACAGTATAAAAAAATGTAGAAGCTTAGAGAGCTGTTGTGATGACTAACTCTACAGCATGCTTTCTGCTTGCTATATTCCAGGCCACCTGCAGTATTAAGTCATTTGAATTTGTTAACATTTGTTCATATATCAGGATATACTAACAAAAACTTCTGCTTTAGATAAATGAGTACAATTCTTTTTCTTTCTCTGTTACTTACTGTCCACATTCTCCAGAGGAAGTTGAATACTTTGATTTGCAACCTCTTTTCCCAAAAAAGGCAGAAGACTTTGTAGATCATTAAAATGTCGTTTGGTGTTAAAATGTTCATTTGAAAGCATATTGTTGAGATATTCACTCAAGCTGAACTAGGGTTTAATGAGTCACTGTTAGCTTTATTTAACCAGGAGAGCAATTAAGAACACTTTGGGTAAAGGCATTTAAAAGGTAAAAGAACATTTCTACACACCTGAAGCCATTTCTACACGCTCACTGGTGATACACTGCCCCATAGTGGCAGAGGTTTTACTTACATTTTTCAACAATTACAAAATGTTCCTTAAGGTGATCCAACTGTTTTTGAAAAATCCTGCTGATGTTAAAAATGTAATGGCTTTTGCAAAGCACTGCATTCTGCATTTATTTACATTTTACACATGGCCAACTTTTTGGAAATGAGGTTGCAGATCAGTCCTCTGCAAAGTCATCTGATATATCAGCACTGCGGATATTTTGTTTTGGGATGGTGAAGGTATTCAAGTACTAGCTTAATCAACAGCTATTTCAAGACATACAAGTCATTATTTGAGCTTTGAAGGGTACTACACTTAAAATCAACATCATTGTTTGGCTCCTGCACTGATTGCAAACCTTCACACCCACTCATTCACCTGCACCCATCATGAGGGACCTCAGCAGTCACCCTGAGCTTGTATGGCATTTCCTGGTCATGTGGTTGACCCCAGTGGAGGGTTTGGGGCTGCAGACCAACATTCTCTAGTTAAATCCTCCCTCCTGCTGGTGCTTTGTAGAGCCCACTCCATAAAACCATTTAGTCTCACACACATAAGCACAGACTGATACAGGAAAGCACACATATGCTTGCTGGTGTGCATACACAAATAGACACACAAACACAAAGCACCACCGAAAAAAGGTGGTGTGCTGACGACAAAGCATTTCTCTGTTCTGGAATCAAAGCAACTCTTCATTGTTTTCCTTTTTTTGTCTGTCTGTTATTTTGGTGGTCCATGCCGATATTGTTCAAATAGTGATGAGCTGTGTCAGTGTGATGTTCCTATTATACCATTTTCATGATGGTATCATCGCCTCATTGCACCACCTCCTCATCTGTCACCTCTACCTGTGTCTCACTCCAGTTCTCTGACAGCAATACAGTGTAGGGAAAGCTTCCAGTTACCTGCACATGCACAGGGCGTTCAGATAGAGAAGGACAGACAACCACTGATGTTATCCAGTAGTTATGAGAGGAGAGAGATTGCGTAAATGAAATAATGTATTCATGGCTGATCTAACACCAGAGTTTCCTTTGTAGTGATTTACTTATACTAGACTGGACTGTCTAGTAGATTGAATTTACTGAGCGCTATTTAGCCACCGTGACTACCCACAGTAGCAGATGATGAAATGCCTTCTCTGGCGTATAAATGAGTTTACCCTACATCTGTAGTGTAAATAGAAGGAGCTAAATAGTTCTTGTTTGGTTTTTTGCTTAGTTTGTGTGATTTTTTTAAAAAGTTTTGTTTAAGTAAAAACCTCAAAGTTAAAAAAAATGTAAAAATTGAAACTCTTAAAGTAAACTGGACAGCGGGAACTGCCCAGCTCCAACATGCCATGAATGCAGCAGTATTTCAGCCAAGCACATCCGAGAGGAGCCTGCAGATACTATAATGAGGCCCACTGAGTGTAAGCTATAAAAATAATGCACGGGATCACAGTACACACACAAAAAACCTGAATGGCTTAATGCTTTATAGGAAATAATCAACTGAAAGCCAAGTGTGCTCATTTTGTTGTAATTCCAGATGCTATCTTAAGAAATCAAACATGTCAGTTTTAGGTACAGTTTACATTCTAATAAGCCAGCACTGTGATGTGACTTTGATTTGCACACTGAAAGCATCGCTCCGTATCAGCCCGGTAATACGGACAGGCCCCGTGTGCTCAGTGTGCATTAAAAGGCTGGGATGGTCTCTGCTGAAAACACTGAGGGATTAGTGACATGTCTGTGGCGTGCTCCCATAGTTGTCAGATGTGTGAAGTGTTACTACTGCATCCATCCTGTAGAGAGCGCTGCTTAGCCTCTGGAACACTGATAGTCTGGCTCTTAACAAAGGCTGAGTGAAAAAGCTTACGTCACTATTAGAGATGCTGCAGAAGGCTTCCATTCTGCCCTCATTCAAGCTATCACTATATTATTGTGTCTGGAACACTAAATATTATCATAATCATACAAATTATGTACAGTTCCCCAGAAAACTCTAAAGTCTCGTGCACTTGAACATAGTCTTGTTCATTTTATTGATGCACTTAAGTGATATTAAAGTTGCTTCACTGTATGTTGGTAAACATTGTCAGCAGTGTACTGTACATGTGTGCTTCTGGGAACAAAACAGTTTTGGTAGCTAGATGACGTTATAATATTCAAAGAGCAAGTGATCAAATAGTCAACAATTAAGACAACTAAAAGCACCATTTAAGAATATTCAATATTGTGTTGTTCCCTCCAGATCATTCCCATGCGTTGCCTAAAAGTAAAATGTCTTACATGACATATGCGTGGGTCATATGTGAAATTAATGATGTGAACCAACTTTCTTCTGGAGCAGAAGAACAAAAGTATGAAAGCACTTTGGGTTGTGGATCGTGTATATATAAGAAGTAAGGTGTAGCTCCATGCGTGAACATCTGGTGGGATGAGCTGATGTTGTGTGTCTAGACCTGGATTTTTGTGGCATTGTACTGTTGGCTACGATGATTTGACGCTCAGCTCTCCAGTCTGCTCTCATGTTGTTCCTGTTAACATTCCCTGCGTCTTATTTTCTGGCCAAGCTGCAGAATAACATTCTGTAAGAAGTCCATTCAAGGTCTTTAATGACCTTTTGGAGGAGCCAGTGGGCCCCTTGTTTGATTTATTCTGAGAGCGCTGACTTTAAAACTATCTCTGGTCAAGAACAGGTTTCAGTGTTAGCATACAGTGTGTTAATGTTAGCATACAGTGTGTTAAATAACAAAAGCTGATGTTATGAAATCAAGACTGTTAAAATGGCCCTTTTATAAACATGTTGAGCTCCATATTTATATTCTTGGACTAGAGTAGAGTTCAAAATAATGCTTGCTGGTCTTTTGCTTGTGCAGTCCCTCACTTCATCCTATACCTGAAATAAGCCTTTAAATCAGCTTTGTTCTGATTGACGGATCCTATGATTTGGACAAAGTAATCTCACGATTTTTTTCTATTGTAAGGTAAATATTCTAAAGTAATACAATTCTAATGTTATTCAAGTTAAGTTATATACATTGACAGAAAATACAGGAAAGCCCCACAGACCCTCTTTAAAGCCTGTTTCATTTTGCAACACATTAAATCAAAGAAAGAATTCGTTAACAACAGAAAAATTCAAAAATATTTAAGGCTTTCCACCCTGGCAACCAGTATTTGTACACAATTTTATTTGTATTTATGAGTATACACAAACTTTTCAATGTGAAAAAAGACTGTTAATTTACAAAGTTCTTTAGGAGCAGCTTTTTGGGACCATTGATTATGAGCCAGACAGTAGCCTACAACATGCTTGTATCAATGCTCCCAAGTTAGCAGATAAAAAGATTGATGGTGGAGCCTACTTGGTAAGTGGGTTATGAAAAATTTAGAGGCAGACATGTTAATTTATATATATAATATGGCCTTATCTTATAAATGAAAAGAATGTGTAGATTTGAAGAGCTCAAATATTCTTATCAGTTTCAAAATGCAATCTAGTCCAGCTGAGGTTTTTGTGATTTGAGTCTTGTCTTTGGATATTCAGTAAGGAACCCAATGGACCCTTCAGTTAGTAAAGTTTTAATAGAACCATGGGAATGTGCTCAGTGTTTACTACAGTCATCAGGAGTGTGATACAGTTAATGTTACTTTGGAGCTTGGACAGAAAGTAAGAGTCAGATTCACTCTGATGTCCGTTTGAACTCCCAGTTATTGCACTCAAATACCACCCTTCCACTAGTATTTCACACTGTATATAGACACCATCACGTTTTTATCACTCCGCGTGTAACTCAAATTAGTTCAAATGAAATAAAAAGAAGAAAAAAAAAATCTTACTTCTTAACAGGGTGTAGTGGATGTTGATAGACGGGCATTTATGTTCATAAACCTAGTTAGAGTTGAGGTAAGACATTCTGGTAAGACTGAAAGCATAGGGAAGGAAAAGTGTACTTTTTTTTCAGAGTCTGCCTTTTTTCCATCAAGAAAAGGGCTGCTGAAGTTTCAAGAATGTTTTAAAAATGTATTAAAGATGCAAGATTATGAATACATGTATGAGGTTTGTCTCTGTTCTGTTTTGGAAGATAGCTCACATATGGATAACAATGTTTACCAGATTCAAACTGACAGGCAGGAAGAGAACCAGTGTGTGTCCACTTAGATATGATCTGAAAAAGCTTTGCATAAAGAGAACATGAGGAATTGGCAACATTTGGTGTGAACTGCACTGACACACACTGGTGAGCCCTTTCTTCTCCCTACCACCACCAGAAAGTAATACCCTTTATTAAACAGCTCCTATGTAGACACCTTGACATATCTACCAACATGGGACTGAATTAAGGCAAGTCATGGACCAAATTATCTTCCCACTGTCAATAACAACAATAATAGACCATTCTGAACCTCTTTGTAAAGTAACAGAAAAGTGCTTCAGAAGCAAAGTTTCAAACACTTCAAAAGTAGTGTTGGTAGATATATCTGGAGCCCCTAACCACGTCTCCCACCTGCAGTGGCTCATCAGCACCACAGCACTGAAAAGCAGCTGATTTTACCTCTGTCCTTTACCATATATACAGCAGCTACCAATTAAACCAGTATTCCAGCTGTTTAAATGTCAAGTGGAGTGGAAAATTACAAGTGTGTGTATTGTATTCTGGTCTTCTGCTTGCCCTTACTCAACCTGAGAGGCAGCAGGCAAAAAGAAGCTACTTTTCAGCACTGTAGAATAAACCCACTGTAGTGTGTGTGTGTGCTGTATTACTTTGTAGGGCGCAACACCATAGCAAGAGCATGCAGAAGACAACAAACCAACTGCTGGTTGTTAGAGGTATCTGTCCTATTAGATAGAGCTTATCTCCCCTTTCAATTCTGAATATTTGGTATGAAAGAGATGTTAATTGTGGTTAATTGTTAACTAGTGATGTGAATATTAATCAAGAAATAAAAAGATAAGCAAAAGTTCACTGTTTTGTCATTTCTTCACACATTTCTCTCACATATTGACAGATTGCTTTCCATCAGCACAAGGCCATCAGCAGCTGTCAGTGGATAAGAAATGTTAACAAGTTTAAACCATTGATGCGTTTGGTGGTAATGAAATTAATAACAGCTGCACTAGAGGGGCAACAAAGAGACAACCCACAAAACAGGGATGTTTTACAGGTGAGGTTTTCAGGTGTCAAGGTTTGTTGTGTGTCTCAAGAGTATTGAGGCGATTCCAGCAGACAAGCAGTTACTGTAGGAGAGCTGGACAGGGTTGTAGATGGTTCTTAACCCATCAGCAGGACCATTATCTTCTCTACTCCGTGCAAGGAGGAACAGGATGAGCACTACCAGAGCTACTAAATGACCCCCAAACCACTGGTGTGAGTGTCTCTGACCAAATCAGAAACAAACTGAGGGCCCAACATCCTCTGGTGGGCTCTGTGCTCACTGCCCAATTCTATGTAGTCCAACTGCTATTAACCAAGTACCAGAATCTACTAATGGTGCTTTTTACAGATGAAAGCAGGGAGATCAAAACACCTGGGGACATGTAATAGATAGTATGCGATCTATTACATGCTATCAGCTATCAGCACACACAAATGAAATTATACTTCAGTGAATCAGTAGATTTGAACATGTTAATTGATGCTAGCAAAAATGATATTAATCAGAAACAACTAGTTAATTGTAAATTCATTGATCTTAATGTTATTTTAATCTAACTTTATGAAATCAGAAAAAAATACTTCAAAACTTTTTGCTGTATTAACCACATGAAATATTAGCAAACTATAACATTTTGGCATGTAGTTTTTCTGGTCTGTTTAAGCAAATGTACCCACTTTGAACGAGTGTGATATTTTTGGCTTTGTCGTCCTGTTGGCTGCTACCTTCTGTATCATGTTACAACCCACCTGATTTAGATAGCAGAAGCATAGGAGAGCTGGAGGACCCAGATGAACAAAGCATTTGAAACTAAATAGGAAAATTTAATAAACAATTAAATTCTAAATATAATTAAAGTTTGACTGCAGTATTAGTGTGTATTGTTTACATAAATGAATAGTAACTGATGGTACTTGTCAAACTTTAAAATCAATTTACCCAATTTAGGATGGGTAATGAAAACCCTACCTCTTCCCATAATGCATTTACCTGACTGTATTACCACTAAAATACAATGAATTATTAGTACTGTTTCTATAGTTCTTTTTAATCGTGGATGATGAAATTGGACAAGGGTTATTCTCTGACTCGTCAACTGCAGAAAGGACAAAATGAAAACATGTTTAACTGGAGTCGGTGCTTGTCGGGTACTCTTGATGTCTTCAGTAAGGAAGACTTTAGTTGCTGCAATAGAAAGAAGACAAAAAAGTAATTTGATGACACAAATCAGTGGCGCAGATAAAACACACTTTAGCTGAAACATAGCAAAAGTGCAAACTGTTCTGAGAATGTGGGGACATTGCTGTGACTTAACCTGAACTGAACTGCTGTGACTTAACCTGTGACTTAACTACCTTAACCTGAACCTTCTGAAATGCTGGTCTTTGGACATGTTTAGTTGCTAGAGCCAAAGAGTTGGTCTACTTCATTAGTTTGGTGTGTTTAAAATTTCTTTTGCTTTTCTAGGCTAATTAGGCTTCATTATGTGTTTACATTACAGCTTCAGTTCCAGGTGACTTCAAGTCAGGATGTGTCAGAGAAAGAGAGCAAAAAGAAACTGTTAAGACAGTGAACAGTGAACATCTAATTAAAAGCCAATGTGTGATTGTGGCGGACAGAGGGGGTGTAAAAAGAGCATGAAGAACCAGGTAAGCAAATAGGGAGACAATGAAGTTGGGTGAAAAAACAATAACTATTTTTCACAAAACATTTTACATGTATCTTATGAATGGTTTATGCACTTTCCAATAGTACTCATAGAAAATACCAGTGAACATCCTAAACAGAACTTTGGACATCCACTGAGACAATCGAAGTTGGGTGTGGGTTAATAATGGTCACTGTTGACCACAAATATGAAATTAAATAAAAATGAATAATAAAGATTAGCTGAAAATAAGCCGTGTGGAGACCAGAACTTCTAGAAGTCAGATGTCCACTTGCTTCTCCCCTCGTCCTTGCCTTCTGGCATGGCATTGTATCTTTGAGCACAAAGATAACCTGTGAAATTCCTGCTGGCTGCCTTCAGCGCGGTGATGATTTAGTGGAAAGTTTATGAACCACTTCTGACGCACAGCAGAGGAGCAAACAGAGAAGCTGCAACAGGTGATCATTAAGTGACGGACAATAATATACTGTACAGCCATTTGAACTAGGGAACAACAACAATGTATACTGTACTGTACTGTCCTGTTCAACAAATGCAAGAAAGGGCAAGGCAAGAAGCAACCTATTTTAAATGTGAATTTTATATAAAAATTACACAGACATGCTTGTGAGACAGTTAAACTTCTGCAGCACAATCATTTTGTAATTGTATTTTTATCATCCAATTAAAAATGATGGCTTACACCATTAACTTGATGCTACCAATTGAAATACCTCTGTTATGCACAAACCCAATAGTTATGTCAACAGTATTATCATATTTGATCCTGTAATGTTTTAAAGTCTCCAACCACTTTATAACAAGTCCAATGTTACTGAAGGACTTATTCCGACACAAAAGGGAGACTTCACTTGTGTTTTTGGTGCCAGCTGCTGTAGGAATCTCAACTGCTTGGCGCAACCTACTCCTTTGCAGCCACTCCAACTCAACTCAGTGCTCCTCTTTCAACCAGTCCCAGCAGACTACTGAAATAGAGAAGGCATCTTCAACTAAAAGCAGCAGATCACAACCTGTCACATACTTCCACCACCTGACTTAGGCCCAAGAGCCGTCAGACCTAACCTGCCACTATGGATGATAGCATCATACACCACCAGATAGGTGGCAGCATGTACAGAGTGCAGCAGGTGCACTCTGTTCATGAGGCGCTGGAAAGGGACTGGGGATCCAAGCAAGCTGAAAGTGAGCGTGACGAATTGGTAGAATTTGCATGGTGTGAGAAGGATGTTTTTTTCTTAGTCTCTCTTAGTCTCTAGTTTTAATATCTCTTGGTCAAATCCGGCATAATAAAAAAAAAAACAAGCAGTGCCTAGCCGGTCCAGGAGCTCACTGACCCATATAGACCCGTCTGTCTTTACCAGAACTTCAGGGCTACACCAAGCACTGTAGCAATCTTTTATCACCCTCATGTCCAGCATGCCATGTGATCACACGGCAAGTGGGCGATTTGGAAAGAAACTTTGAGCTGAAAGAAGAAAGCAAAAAAAGCACTTTGTCCCACGGTGAAAATTGTCTGAGCATTGTACAGGTGCTGCTGACAATCCTGGCCCTGACCATATTTTCTGGTTGATAACCTACCCATCATGCAGCTTTGGTCTTAGGTCCAGGGCGTACTGAATTTCAATTTTGCTTGGGCTTGGGCTTTCCTCTCAGTTTTCTTTAATTAGGTCCAGGAAGAAAATCCAGTAGACGCCTGGGGGACCACCCACACTGCAAAACTGTCCAAATCAATGTTGAATTCTCGCGCAGCAGCTCTATTCCCTTGTTGTTGCAGTATATCAATGACTAACCTCATATTGTGGATGGTTTATCTCAGTTGTTCTCCTGACTGAAGTTTGGTCCATATACATGGTCCATCCTGCCATATGTCCATAACCATCAGGAATCCTCCACATTAACTTTTATCAAGTGGAAAAAGGTTAGCTTTACTGTGTTATGCTAACATATGCTAACATAGCTGTGTCGCTAGCGATCACATAGCACATCATTATATACCAGCTAGTCCAACTTCAGTAACCCTACAAAAGTCACTGCTGTTTAGTATTTCTGTCTGCATTTATGTCGGAAGTGATAGCAGAGCTGTATGTTTTAATTTTTTCAGAAATCTCTCAGTCAGAACATGCCATATTACGTTTAGGTGGAAACTAGCGAGCTAACTTTTTGCTAACTTCTAACTCTGTTAAATTTAATAAATTCTGTTTTCATGGATGCCTGGATATTAAACTTAATTGTTACACCTGGTAACAGTGGCGGTCCAAGCCTTTTTGGCGCCCCGGGCAAACACTCCCTCTGGTGCCCTCCCTCTTGGATTTATAACATTATGAATGAAATGTGCTCTATTTGGAAGCAGCCGACCCCCTCCCCTTTCGACAGGTTGTGTGAGACTTTAAATCATCAAACTGTAAATTATAAATTTTAAATTGTTATTGATCCCTTTACCTCTGGTCCTAAAGTGTATATTTATTTTCTTACTCTTCTTATATATATATTGTTTGTTTACTGCTGTAACTGGAGCCTCGTCGTCTCGTCTCTATATACTGGACTGTATGTAGCGGAGATGACAATAAAGTTTACTTTGACTTCAGCACCGCAGGCGCACCGAGGGCTCTCGCGCTCACTTTTCGCGTATAGAATTTCGAAAAAAAACATCGGTGCAAATTATAAGTCTGTATCATGTCTGGTGTTTTCGTGTTTGTTGGTTTGTTTTTATTTTGTTTTATTTTGCGAGTTGGTTATTAGATGCTGCTCCAGCCAGCCAGAGAATCCCCCGCCGCCCCGCACTCTCCTCCCTGTGCCGCAAGCAGCAGGCGCACCTCGCAAACGGAGGGCACCCTTACTCCCAGCAAATGGGAGTAAGGGATAGAAAAGCGATCAGTGCCTATGCCATTCCCAATATGCGCTGGCTGATGTCGGGGCAGCATGAGTACGAGCAATTTTTTATTTTTATTTTTTTTGCCGATGCCTGTGATGCCGCCCCACCCCCGGGCAACCGCCCGTGTCGCCCGTATCAAAAACCGCTACTGCCTGGTAAAGCAGCAACTCTGATCATGTTATTAGAGATGAAAGAATTTAGACAGTTTTTAACTATCAGTGATGCCGCAGTGTTCATTTGACTTTAGGACCTGAAGCGGATGGA